TGAGAACAGATGATTGTCACTTAAAAAATAATTATACTAAAGAAAGGTGGGACCCCATTAAAAATCACTTCACATTCTTCTTCCCCATTTCCTCTTGCAAAAATAAGGATCACACCCTTTCAATCATCGCATATCCTCACCCTTGACACTTCTTAAAAGCCCTGCTTCTTTTTCTAGCCTTTCAGCACCAAGCATGCGTCACACATTCCTTCAGAGACCCCTGCAATTCCACTGCCTCATGAGAGAAGAAACCCAGAGTGGCCGCTGCTAGGCAGAAGGTGTGGGCGACCCCAGATCAGATTCCATTTTGGAGCCACTTCCATTAGGGAATGACCCTCTGAAAAACAGAGCTGCTCCGGGGAGCTGTGCTCCTTCAATTCCCACTGATGTTAACTGGAGTTAAGGGTGCGCAGTATCACCCCTGACATGCTCAACACGTAAAAGGGGGAAAATCCTTTCTGTGGTCCATGGATTGTTCCAGGTTCCCTGATTTTCATGGGGATATAAGAACTGTGATATCAGATTGGACCAGGGGCCCATCCCATCTCTGGCAAAGGTCAATATCTTCAAGAGAAGGTCAAAATATTATTTAAATAATGTCAAGTGAGCCACGCTACATGTGCTGAGGAGACATTGTTCCCTGACCCTGTTGTGATCAGCTTAAGTCCAGAAAGAAGCTTGCAATTTCATTAGTTATACCGTACCATGCACAACTACAAATGTATTAGTGGGGAAAAAATTATCCCATCCTTCTTTGGATTGTCAGTCACATCGCATAACACATCTCTGGAAAGCGCTCTGACACTAGGGTAGAAGAGAATTTACAGTATCATTAATAATAAAAATACAATGTAGCTAGCACTGTAAATTTACATGGCACTTATCAGCCACCCCATGACTCTGATCCAGGTCCCTTTGAAGTCAATGGGTATCTTTCTATTGATTTCAGTTGGAGTGGGATCAGGCCCCATGTTTGCAGAGACATCACTCACTTGCTTTAATCCCAAAATAACTACCTGTTAAACAAACACAGCAAAAGAACAGAGCTATATCTACCACTTGAGTGCTAATTAAAATAATATTTCTGTTTTTATGCTATTCCCTCACCTGAACTTCCCTAAGGTGCCTTAGAGTGTTTTGTCCAGGTTAGCTACCAATAACAAAAAAGGTAAATTAAATCTGATTTTAGATGAAGGAGAATCAGGTTGCAGGAGAAGCCCAGTTTGTATGTAACACTGGCCTCCATGCATGCTCAGTAAAGCTCTCTTCCCAACAATGCTGCCTACCTGTCACGTCACTTATTGCTCATAAACAGGCACACTGTTAATGCCATAAAGTTAATAACAGTAGCAAGGATCAGTAATATTCCCTCTCCTGCTAGCCTGCTTAATCTGTTTAGCATAGGTTTCTGCGTTTAGCTCAAAGGACGTTTCCTTTTCCGCTCACCTCTATCACACATCTGACGTGAATATATATGAGAAAAAAACTGTAATTCTTTTAAATGAGTTTCAGTGGAAAAGTGAAATAAAACAGCCTTATTTCTAAGCTGTGAAATCCAGCCTTTTAATTCAGCAAGAAAAATCTGCATGGTTTAAATTCTTCATCCTGCAAAGCAAAGGAAACAGGAAACTGTTTTTATACCAGATGTCATGTAGTGGTACTGTACGTCTGGCAACCCCCCAACAGCTGTACGGGGCTAAGTCATGTGAGCTAAGATATTCAGCAGTGGCTTGTTTGTGTAAGACAGTAGGCTGTGTTGCCCTTAGGAGAGTTGTTCAAAGAGTTATCGGACAAGAGGGGAAATGCAAAGAGATTTAGAATGTTTGAGCTGTAATTCTGCTTGTAACAAGGTATTGATGAGAGATGGCACATTTATAGGTTTCAGAAATATATGTCAGATTACCTTGTATACTCCAGTCTTTACTTATGACTATGGTGTCTGCTGGCTACGAAATGTGACAATCACTGTAATGCTTTGTAATTTTATAGCCAAATAAACCAAACTTACACTGTAGGCTAGAGATTCTAATCTACAGTGGCATGAATCTGGAGTGACTCCACTAGAGCTACTCTGGATTAGTGTGGGTTTAACTGAGAGAAGAATTTGTTCCAATATGTGGCCAAAGACCAAAGATAGTCCCTGGAGTTATAAAACACAACTCACAGCCATAGAGTGAGAACTAAACCGAAACCTTGGTTCCTAACAAACAAACACACACAAAACCCACTTCCAGCTCTGAATCTCATGGCAAACCCCTGTCTTTGTAATGGGTCAGAGCAAAACCATAGATTCAAACACTTCCCAGCACTTAAATGCAGATCTGCATTTTTTTGCTGGTGAACTCTAGCAGCAATTTCTGTCCATCTGTCAAGGAACAGCCAGCTATGACCATGTACTGATGATAAGGGCCCAATCCTGTGAGGTGCTGAGCGATTTCAACACCCCTTGACGTCAATGAAAGCTGAGAGCATGCACTACCTCTCAGTAGATGCTCACCTCCTTGCAAAAGGTATGCACATTTATATGCAAAATCAGTGCAACCTTCAGGTGTTTGACAAGTTCCATGCATGGCCCCTGGTGTTGACCACATCTGGTATATCTGAAATAAATCCTGATACAAAAAACAGGACATGGCAAGAAGCTAAGAATGCAGCAAGAGACTGCCAAAGATGGAGGGCAGAGGTGAGGGTCCAGTGTTCTGCATAAGCCAAGTCAATCAAAAAACAGGACCTTTTGAAACCACCTCTGTCTGCAGCTAGCAGCACAGCCCTTGTGGTAAATCTACAGCCCGTCAGAACATATTTTTCCAAAGCAGTCTAAATGCCACAATTCCCGCTTGGAATGGTCAGACACAGACACTCTGAGATGGAAAACCATGAAGAACTTGTAGGCAGTAACTTGTGACTTCCTTAATCTCAATTTCATGGTGGACGTAAGGTCACTCTCTCCCCCCCCCCCCCCCCCCCCCATGCAGCATAGCCAAGAGATGAATCACTCAAGAAAGGAGCTTTGCGCTTTCACTTTTTAATTAATAAATAATGACGATCTGGGTTCAGATCCAAAACCTCACTAAGTTTTGGGCTGCTCAGATCCACAAAAGCATAAAATTCAGATACAGACTAAGTTTGGGGGTTCAGGTTCAGATTCATAGATAGCCATGAAATTCAGATCCCGCTCTGAATGTTCTCCAAGGACTGTCTGGTGCCAGCTGGGCCTATATGTAACAATAAAAATGAGCTTGGTCATTTATTTTGTTAAACTTTCATAGTAAAATGGCAAGCTGTTTGAGAGGAGAGTATTTGAATGAAGCAAAATAACAAAGGGTGACATAAATGTATGGCTCGATGCTCTTAATTAATGAAAATTCCTCTCTGTGAAAATAAGCTGAATAAATACAATTGTCCTTATTCAAAATTGCATAAATGAGTGCAACATTAATGAAGTTAGCTAGAGTTGTGCCCCTTAGTTTTATTTGTTTGCCTGCAGTATTCAAACTTTTTGAAAATTCAAAATTCTGAACATCCCCGCTCCCCCGCCCCCAATTTTTTTTTTCTGAAAACATGTTGAACATTTTCCATGAAAATTTTTCTGTGGTTTTCAACCCATTCTGGTCACAACGTACTGCCCCTCAGCCACCGTGCATTGATCTACAGCAGTCTGTGGGCCTTAAGGTTTCGTTTCATGCCAGTTACCACAAAGCTCACTGGTGGGAAATGAAATGAGGACACTAGATGTAACACAGCTCATCAGTGAATGTAACCTGCCAAGCCAGACACATGAGAAGCAGTAGTGGCATAAACATTTTATGAGCCATTTGCAATGGTTTCAGGGCTCCCTGCTGATTTTATTTCTAAACATTTCTGTGGAGGTCATCAGAGCAGAACTCCTCCCAGTCAGCTGGTGTAGCTGTTTTGGGTTGAACGGGAAACAATGGTTTATAAAGAGAATAACTAGCTAAAACAAACACTGCTAAAAACATTTGCTAATTGCCCTTTATTCATATGGGCCAAAGATGGTGGTGCCAGCACAGGTACACAGTGTCCGTATGTAGGAGAGGAGAACCAGGCACAGATCTGCTGGCCATGCCAGAGGCTGTCCCCCGCCTGCATTTCTCCTGTCCCCAAAACCTTTTTCCACAATGTAGCCCCTGCATAAACACAAGCCCACAGCTGCAGTGAGTGCAAAATTTCTGCCTTCTACTGCTTAATATAATCGCACCAGTTCCATTGTCTTCAGGGCCTCCGGTGGTCTTATTATTGTCGTTATTATTTATTATTTGTATTACCATAGTGCCTAGGAGCCCTAGGCCTGGACCAGGACCCCATTGTGCTAGGTGCTGTACAAACAGAACAAAAAGATGGTCCCTGTCTCAAAGTGCTTTTCATCTAAGTAAAGCCTTTACTTGGGCTGGACAATTTAGCTCTGGAATAGGGGACAAAGGACACAGGTGTAACTCTGTTAATATTTAAGTGGGCTTTTATTTACTGTTGGTATAGAATACAGAATCCTAGATCTAGGCTCTGTGTCATTTGCATGTTCGGCTGAAATCATAACAAAGCTGCATGGATAAAAGTTGGCCATGCATGCCAAAAAAAGTCAGCTCCAAGGGAGAAAAGGAAGGGCAGATCCAGTCCAAGGAGAAAATTGGCCTATCTCAGAGGGTCCAAGTGCAGAATGTTTACAAAATGCTCATTAAGGGAGAGGGGGTTTGTGAGATAGCAACAGAAAATCTGGTGGACAGCTTACACTACAAGAGATAAGAGAGGCAAGGCTACCATAGGAGAGAGCGTGTTATATCCAATTACTGAGACCTGGTTTTGGACGGTGTGGGGGGGGAGGGAGAGAGCGCAAGCAAGGACTGATCACAAGCTTCAGGCAAGGGCTTCCAAACTTGTCAACTCTGTGACACAAGCTGCACACAACCCAGAGGATAAAATAGCCACTTAGCCCACACGAGAGCTAAATCTTGTTGAGTGCGGTTGGAGGTTAGAGCGGAGGAATGGATACTGTCACCATTCAGCTGTGGGCAACCCTCTCTCTGTTGGTGCACCTTGCAGCTTGCAGTCCCATCATGAGCCTGGAGCAGTCTTCCCTGGAGGAAGATGTGCCCTTCTTTGACGAGCTCCTTTCGGAGCAGGACGGCGTTGATTTCAGCACGCTGCTTGAGAACATGAAAAACGAGTTCCTGAAGACGTTGAATCTCTCTGATATTCCCCTGCATGAAACGGCTAAGGTGGAGCCCCCAGAATACATGTTAGAGCTGTACAACAGGTTTGCCACTGATAGGACCTCAATGCCATCCGCAAATATTGTTAGAAGCTTCCAAAATGAAGGTAAGAGCCATACTCCTCGGAGTGAACTAAGAATGAGTGGGCATTGCTTATAACCAACAAGACACCTGTTTACAATGCGTGGCGCATGAAGGCTGAATTGGGGGGGGGGAGAAGTTTATAGTGATTAGATAGAGATGCAGCTGGAGTTAACGAACTAACACGGCATATGCCTATAATCAACCAGCTCACACTGCTTTTCTGATGTAACCTTTGCCCCCATCCTTTGCCTATTATATCTTTGAGACAGTAAGCACTTTGGGGTAGGGGTAATGTCTTCTTTTATGTTTGAATATTATGGGTGTGTAATACAAATAAATCGTCACCATCCCAGGAAGCATGTGAATCACTTATTTGTTACCTTCATAGGCATCTGATTTTCAAAGAGAGACGGTAACTGAATTAATGGGAAAAACCCTCTTTCACAACCCACGCAATGGTACAAATTCTTGTTTGGGAAGCCCAATTTCTTCATGGATTCCTAACCAAACAATGAATGACTCTCTAGTAATATTTTCCCAATTTAGTCTTTAATGGGTCCCAAGGCTTGGTGTGTGAAGTAAAGTCAGATATTGAAATATCTACAGCTAGCAGCTCTCTATGATGACTTTTGCTAACCCTTGGTGCTCATTTTGGGGGAAATAAAGTATTTTCTATTTTTTCAAAAAAAGTCAACTAAAAAATGCATAAAATTATGAGTTTAGACAGTTACACATATCGTGCAATTGAAAATTTCCTGCAATGCTACATAACGAGAGGAATGTAAGGCTCACATACTAGCTGCTGATGATTTCTTTATGCTTCATGCATGAGTAACAATGTAGGCTATATATTTAAAAGACTTTTCAACAAATCATTTATGCCCCAGAAACATTCTGTTTGCCAGTAGGATTGAGATGATTTTTTTTTAACAACTCAGCTTTACGTGTGATAATTCAAATAAAAATGGCTCTTCTATCATGCCAGTCTCAGTTTTACTGATGAACTCCAAAACTACAAGATAACAGAGCAAACACTGAGTATATATGACCTAAATTTGACAACTCAGCTAGATGCTCTAATTATGGGCTAATCTATACCTCATTCAGATGTGTGCATTCTTATCCAGCTACATGTTTCTGGTTTTAAAAGGCTCTGCCTTAAAGTTCAAATCCACTTTAACTGTGCATTTCTTCAACATATAGATAACATTTAATTGACTGAGGGCTGGATTGCAAACCACTTATGCGTACTGAAGACCATGGGATGAGTGACTGCTCATGAGCGTAGAGAAGGCATTCACAATCTGGCCCTGAAGGAATATGGAATAATGAGTATTGTCCTTTTCTGACACTTGCAATTTTAAGATGAAAAAGTATCAGGAATATAAATGGACTATAATTGGGCAAGTACAGTATACTGAGGGGGAAATCCTATGTGTTTTACTAGTGTAAATCAGCAGTCATCCTTTATTTTTAGTAAATGTAACAATGCACAGTTCCATTCATTTTCATAAACACAACAGAGATGCCAAGCATCCTTTTCACCATTACATGAAGTCTGCAATGGCCATGTCAAACTCAGGATAACTTCCTACCTTCCTGGCAGATTCCTGTCCTTTCTTCTAGTCCAGAACTACAGGCATAGATTCAGATACTCATATGCTAATACAAATGCTTTCCATATGCACACATACAGTACAGAGGGTTTATTTTAATTCTCTCTCCTTTGTATGTCAAGAAAGTCAATAACAACTAGGGAACCTGAATTTTATATCTTATGGGCCTTTTAGATGGTTAAAAATAAAGTGCTTGCAATTATATTGATAAAAGAGATGGAACAGATCACACAATGCAATCTTTATACTTATCTGCTTGTGTTAGTAGAAGATGATTATGGAAATTGAATGGCTGGAAGCAGTAGAACTTTATGACGATTGTTCCTTAGCAGTTTTAGCTCATGAAGCAGTCCGGCTCCATTGCAGATACGATTCTAATGTGGTCATCACTTACAAATTTAAATAAACTTTTCTGGGCTAAATCCTCCTCCTTCAGACACCAGTGCATCCTCATTGACACCAAGTAGGATGTACAGGTAATAGTGAGAGGGGAATTTGACCCTTTGAGTTTTCCTGCTCAGCCAGTCTTGTGGGCAGACGCCCATGCTGACTTACTTTTCTCTCTAATCAGGAAGTGAGACACCCAGTTTCCCATAAGGGTGTGTCCCTAACCCCTTCCAATGAATTATTCATGTCCGTCTTCTATGCAGTCAGCTGACTTTTCCCCACCCCAAGACCATACATATCCCCATGACAGTGGACTTGTTCTCCAGCATCCTGCAGGCTGGGAAGCCCTCGAGGTCACTCTAAGTTCTGATGCCACTTCCAGTTTTGAAGTGAGTCACGCTCACTAGACATGCAGCTGGATTCTGAGTGCTTTCAAACTCCCAACTAAAGTCAATGGGAAGAGAGGGCAAACGGGACCTCTCATGTTTGGCCTCTTCGATATTTTTTTCTTTTTTCTGATGTTTGCAAACATCAGAAAACACTGAAGTCCAATTAAAGTCAATGGGGCTACTCATGTGCTGAAGTGCTTTGCTATCTCAGGGCAAATTTTTGTAGCTGTGTCAACCAAATGTTTCCATAAATATATCAATCCCAGAGTCATAGAAATCAGAGATGGGAAAATGTACAAGTTCCATGCAGTCCATCCCCTCCACCATTGTAGGCATGTCCACTAAGTCTATATTTCCTAATTTGGTTTTAGGGTTGTTATTGATATTAGGGAAATACAGCAATAAATACAAACATTTTTCTAAATTTCCTATATGTATGAAGAAATGCAGATGGTGTATGTATAAACATAGCTAGATAGATTAGATTAGATTATTTGCTTGTTATACATTTGATTAATTAATACTCTCAAAAGCTCCTAAGTAAGTACAACAAGGAGTCTGGTGGCACCTTAAAGACTAACAGATTTATTTGGGCATAAGCTTTCGTGGGTAAAAACCTCACTTCTTCGGATGCATAGCATAAATCATAACATAAATCTGTTAGTCTTTAAGGTGCCACCAGACTCCTTGTTGTTTTTGTAGATACAGACTAACACGGCTACCCCCTGATACTTGATAAGTAAGTACAGCAGTTTTCTTTTGCTCCTTTCAAGACAGATCCAAAACCTATTGACGTCAAAATGGGAATATTTCCATGGCTTCAGAGGGCTTTGGATCAAGACCTAACTTCCCATTCCTCCTAGTTATAAGCCTTTGCATCACCCTAAACAACTTGTCTCTATCCTTGGTGGTTGCAGTCTTCAGACACTGGTGGAAGCTTATGGTATCATTTGTTTCCATTGGGAGATCTATGCAACACTTCATCAGAGACAGCAGATCAGCAGTAGGGATTTTAATGTGTTGTATCAGATCACCAGTGAAAATACAAATTCACCATATATACCTGAGGAGTGTGGCACTGTAAATAGGATTAATTGAAGGTAAAGGAGATCACACTATTTATGAGGCGATCTACTGGATATTCCATAGAAAGACAGATCCCCTCTTAATAGACAAAAAGATACGAATGCAGCCTACTTTTGCTGCAGAAACAGTTTGTGTCATTCTGCCCATCTCCAATCCCCCATGTCCCTTCAGTTGGATATACACCTCTACCCCGATATAACGCTGTCCTCGGGAGCCAAAAAAATCTTACCGCGTTATAGGTGAAACCGCGTTATATCGAACTTGCTTTGATCCGCTGGAGCACACAGCCCCGCCTCCTCAGAGCGCTGCTTTACGGCATTATATCCAAATTTGTATTATATCGGGTCGCGTTATATCGGGGTAGAGGTGTAGTATTCTTCTTCACTTCCTGTCCTAAAATTTTGTGTAATGTTGATATTCACATGTTAAATAGCTGTTGTATTTGCACTCCAGAGGTGGCTTCATTTCAGTGCTGGGCAAAGCGATTCCTATATACAATAAATATAATGTGTACAATCAGTAAGGACCTTTTATAAAGCACTTCGGTAGCCATGTTGGAAGAAAGAGAGCTATAAATCCAAGTTCATTGCTATCATGATCTGACCTTGTTTTCCTTGAAGATCCAATACAAATTATCCACCTCACTGACGACATGAATAAAATTTTGTGTGACAATCCATTATTCCTATTTATTATAATTTTCCTGTAACTGTTCACACTGAAACCAAGGAATACAAGGCATGCAAGGCTGAGTTTCATGCATGCATATTTCTGCTGGAAATATTTGCAGTTCCAAAGTGTTTATTTACGTTGATCTTTGTAATTTCCAGATCTGACTTCCCACCCTATTGGTGTCACAGGAATCCGGAAATACCCTCTTCTCTTCAACGTCTCCATCCCTCACCATGAAGAGATCACGATGGCAGAGCTGAGACTCTACACACTGGTGGAGCGGGACAGAATACTCTATGATGGGCTGGATAGGAAAGTCACCATTTTTGAAGTACTGGAGAACAACCATGCGGGGAGAGAAGGAGAGGAGAGAAAAATGGTGGCACTTGCATCCAGGCAGATCTACGGCACCAACAGTGAGTGGGAGACCTTTGATATCACAGATGCCATGAGGCGCTGGCGTAGGTCAGAGTTGACCACTCACAGGCTGGAAGTGCAGATAGAGAGCGGAGAAGGGGAGGAGCCAAACGGAGAGGGGAAACTCGATATTGACATCAATTCCGAGGCCAAGCACGTGCCTCTGTTGATTGTGTTCTCAGATGACCTGAGCAATGACAAAAAGGAGGAGAAGCAGGAACTGGACGAAATGATAGACCATGAGCAGCTGCTGGATTTGGAGAACCTGGGCATGGGCAACTTCCACAACGGGCCAGGTGAAGAGGCGCTGCTCCAGATGCGCTCCAACATCATTTATGACTCCACTGCCCGGATCCGGAGGAACGCCAAGGGCAACTACTGCAAAAGGACTCCGCTCTATATCGATTTCAAGGAGATTGGCTGGGATTCCTGGATCATCGCCCCGACGGGATATGAAGCCTACGAGTGCCGCGGAGTGTGCTCCTACCCTTTAACTGAACACGTCACGCCAACTAAACACGCCATTGTCCAGACTTTGGTTCACCTGAAGAATCCTCAGAAAACTTCCAAAGCCTGCTGTGTGCCTACCAAGCTTGATCCCATCTCCATCCTCTACTTAGACGCAGGGGTGGTTACTTACAAGTTCAAATATGAGGGGATGGCAGTTTCAGAGTGTGGCTGCCGATAGTAGAAAGGAATGCATGCCCCGTGCGTGCACCAGGGGAATATTTAATAATTCAGTCTGTAAATTTGTACATTTTGCATTTCCTATTTAATAAGGTTATTTAATGAGGCGTGTACAGATAATTGTATGTTTCATGTCATAGGGAACGGGCAGGTTATATGATTGTACGGAATGTATATTTTGTTCCAGTGCTTGCTTCTTCTTGCTGTTTCGCTTCTTATGAGAGAAGCTTCCTTCATAAACAAAATAAAGAAGGAAAACCAGATCATTGGGTTGTTGGGGTTTTTTGCCCCAAAATAGGCAGCCTTAATGCCATGGAATAACACACATGGATTTTAGTTCTTAAAAAAAAAAAGTGTTGTGGTCAAGGACATTGTTTGAAATGCATCCCCACTGCAGGGATTAAAACATGGATTGAATGAACATAATAAAGTCATATGTTACATGCTTTATATTATGACATATTCTGATAGGTGTATTCCCATCCCTCCCTTCCCCCCACGAGCCCAAGTTAGCATTTTATTCTCAGGCATGTTCCTGGGTATTTATGCCCTAACTTTTCATTGCATTTCAGTAGAAAACAATTCCTTGCTGATGTGTTTGGAGTCAGTTAAAACAGTTTTGAAGTGATTGTGTTCACATTAAAATTTGCAGTCAGTGAAACTGTGAACCTGATGTAACACCCACTTGAGTGTTTGGATTGAATAATTGGCTAAGATGGAGAGACAAAGTCTTTGTCAAATAACCAAGTAAAACATTGTGCAAAAACGTCCCATTTGGTGAAAACTGGTACGTTTCAAAGGGCAAACGTCATGGGTAGATGCTTAAAGTGAGTTCAGAGCCTAAATTCCATTTCCCAAACAGATGTAAGCACTTAGGGCCAGATTTTCAAAGGTACTTAGGTGCCTAAAGATACTGGGATGTTCAAAAGCACCTAAAGGAGTTAGGTGCCTAATTCCCATTGAAATTACTGAGAGTTAGGCTCTAAATTGCTTAGGTATCTACTGGGATTTTCAAAAGTGTCTATCTAGATCTTTAGGTACCTCAATACTTTTGAAAATCTGACTCTTCAGAACAATCACCCCCATTAAGACTCAGTGGGACTTAGGCTTCTAAGTCATTTAGTTGCTTTTGAAAATTTTACCCTGGCTCTTTAAGAAATATCTTTACCAACCTGGGATTAAACATAAAAGCCATTTTAGCAGGGATAGTTTAGCAGTATCCAAAGAGAGGGATGGAAGCCATGAAAAGAAAGGACATTTCCCCTCTTCTAATGCCCCAATCTGCAATGTTAGGTGGGGGCAGTGCTCTGGCAGACTGCCCCTTTGCTATTACACAAAGCAAGAAATGTGTCTACCATTTGTTTATTATCGAATCCCTTGTATATAACAGGCAGGGGCGGCTCTATGTATTTTGCCGCCCCAAGCACAGCAGTCACGCAGCCTTCAGCGGCATGCCTGCGGGAGGTCTGCCGGTCCTGCACCTTTGGCATACCCGCCACTGAATTGCCACCAAAACCGCGGGACCGGCGGACCTCCTGCACGCATGCCGCCGAAGGCAGCCTGACTGCCGCCCTCACGGCGACTGGCAGGCTGCCCCTCGCGGCTTGCCACCCCAGGCACGCGCTTGGTGCGCTGGTGCCTGGAGCCGCCCCTGATGACAGAGCTGCTGACTTTGGATGTAAAATTCCATATTTGATGCATGTTGCATATCAAGGGCCAGGACTTTAGCTGGGCAAAATCTGCATAGTAGCTTTATTGAAGTCCTCAAAGATACACTGATTTACACTGGCTGGGAGCCTGCCCCCCATGTGGCTAATATGTTATGTATAACTAAATCTATATAATCCAACTCAAATGGCAAGTAACACTGTGCTTAGTCCATTTAAACCTAGGCAGAAATGGAAATCCCTCCACCCCAACTACGCAGAGAGGATCTTTCCTTCCTGTACGTGTTGAAGTTGTCAATTCATAAAGACACTGCTCCTGCACACACACACACTTAAACTATATATGATGGAGTCACATGCCATGTTTCCGCCACTCTTCTGCAACAAATCATGGTGATAAGAAGGTGTCGGAGCTGAGAAACAATAGGCCCGTCACTTTATTTATATTAAGCTGCAAATTTGTCAGATTCTTGGGGAAGTGTAAGTGACGTTGACTCCCCCAGCCTCCGCCAGAGCCTACTGTACTGTCCTGCATCTGTTCTACACTTTTAAGGCAAAGTTATCTTCACTGGAAGTGATAAGAGACTTGTCTTTGAAAGAACTGACTCTGACACTTCATGGGAATGAACACAAAAGACTTTATCGAGCACCAACTAAAACCAGTTTCACCGCCATCCACGCAAGCCCTTCTGTGCTTCCCATTATTTATTGATCTATTTATTGACTGTCTTTGTAATATAATGTAGAATACAAAATGTTTTATTTTTCTGCTCATATGTATTCCCACTCCGATAAAACCTTGTACTGAACAACTTATATTTTGAGGCCTTCTGTTGAGCATTGCTCCAAAGTGGGTTGTGTTTTGTTTTGTTTTTTTGGTATAGATCGTTGTAAATATAGTACATTATTATCATCTTTCCTGCCTTCAGACAATCCATCACAGTGATTTAAGAAAGCATCTTGGAGAATGCATAGTCTTGTCTGATAGATACAAGCTCTATCAAGGATATAATTGCTTTAAGTGCTCTAGCTATGTAGTCTATTGTAAAGTAGTGCAGAGTAGGTGGTACATTTCCAACTAGCACGCTCAATCAATGGAGCTACATTGATTTAGGTCAGCTGGGAAAATGACTGTCATTGCCTTATGGACCATTCCACTTTGCAACTTCATAATCTTAACCTTGGATAAATGGCAGGTTAAAAACATGTAATAGATGTGAAATCTTCTTAATCCACTAGCATGAATCATTTTAAGTGAGACCCCCACAAATACCTTTTAATATGGCATGCCCAAACTATCTGCAGTTCATATGAAGCTAGTACAAACCATTCACCGTGTCAGTGGTATAACAATTATTGTTTGCAATAATCCATCATTTATTTTATCATCTCTTTTCTGCAACAGGCTTGTGTATATTTGTACCCCTTTCCTCTACTGAATAGCATCAGAAAGGCTCAACCGCTTAGTCTATGACCTATACTGTTAACAGCCAGTGAAGAATCTCCTTTAGCTTGAGCTCAGGTAGTCGGAGACTACAAAAGGACATGTGTTCTGTTCCCGCACTTGTCACCATAAGGGTGCCATGTGGTAAAATAATGAATTGTCATAGATTTGTTACATTATTGTAAAAAGGGTAAGAAAAGTCCCATTGCCTATGGTATACATGCAGGATAAGGTCCATGGTACGAGTCAAAAAAAAAAAAAAAGAAAGTAGGGATCAATTCTGTAAACATTTATGCACAGGAGTAATTTTACCTGTGAGTGAAGTTACATGTATAAGCATTTACAGGATCAATACATAGGAACATAGGAACCAAGCCAAATTAATACAGTGGTTCATCCAGTCTATTATTAATTAACCTTTATACTGCAGTACAACAAACCGCTAAGGTACTAGTAGAGTGCCAGGTTTGCCACAACTCAGAGGCAAATGCTGAAGGCACTTCAGCTACTAGGCTTTGTAGCCACTAGCCCTGGCTAGTAGTGACTGCATCTTGTCTCTGACCACAGACAGTCAGAGGAACCCAGGTATCAGAGGAATGTGCAAGAACCCCCTAATGGCAATTAGTAAGAAAATAAGAAACACCTTATTATGATGTTCTTTGGGAAAACATTGTGAAACCACAATTTTAATATCTCATGAACCATGCATTTGTGTATGCTCTATATTGTTCATAACCTGAGATTTTAACTAATCAGAATATTTCATCTCTTTGTAAGGTTTCTGTTTAAAATAAGGACATTTGCTTTAATAGAATGACTTCAACCCAGTGCAAAAGATAACTGGGTAACTACAATTTCCTGGTCTGTGCATTGCAACTACAATATAAATATTGTTTATATTATGACCAGGCACAGTGCAGTGGAAGAATGTGGTCTATTTTTTTTTAAAGAGAGTTTTTCTTTGTGCCATTTTTAAATTAATAAATTAAGCCCTATACTTCAAACACATACGTGCTTAACTTAAAGCCTGGGTGTTGTCTCCCTGAGTTCATACTTTATATTGCAGCATATAGCAATGTGTTTGGAGGTTCAGGGCCTTGGTTGCTAAAAACAATACAATACAAAATGTCATGTTTCACCTGCTGTTAACAATAAATAACAAATGAATCTCTTGAAACATTTTCCAGGGCTGGGAAGAGATTAATTATATTAATGAAAAAAATATAATTTATGATTTCTGCTTCTTACATTTTTTACACATTTATTTTTCACATTAATTAGTAGCCTAAATTGATTTTCTTTTCTTTCCTGACCTGCTTGATGTCAATGTTAATGGACTTTTGACTCTTATTTTTTAAAGCCAAATAAAAAAGAAAAGGTATTCCTAAGAAAATAGTTTCAATTTTGGAGTGTTCTTTTTTAATAAATTTTGCAAAATATCCCTAAAACGTTGCACATTACCAAAAGATATATTCTTTGCAAACTACCTACTTCAGCAACCTTTGCTCACATAAACTATCAACTTCAATGGGATTCCTACTTCTGACGGTTTATTATTTATATTAGAGTAGCATGTACCATCTGGTCTACACTTCACATTTAAGTCGCCATAGCTGCAACTCTCGGGGTGGGAATAATCCACACCGCTGAGCGCCATAGTTATGTCAAGCTAATCCCTGGGGTAGATGCATCTACGTCAACAGAAGAATGCTGTTGTCAGCATAGTTAACATCATTCGGGAAGGCAGTGTTCCTACAGCAACAGAAAAACCCCTTCCATTGCTATAGGATGCATCTACACTACAGGCTTATGCTGGAGTAGCTACAGCACTGTAGCTATGCCTCTATAGTTCCAGTGGTGTAGACATAGCCTTGGTGTCCCAAGCAATTTTAGGTCCCCTTTCTGCTAGGTACTTCTACAAACATAGTGGCAGACAATCCTTGCCCTGAAGAGCTTACAACCTAAGTAGACAAGACAGACGAAGGATGGGAGGGGAAACAGAGGCACTGAGAAGGGAAGTTATTTGCCCAAAGTCACACAGCATGGAATAGAGTGTAAATCACGTGTTAGTAAGGCTCGCTGATGCGAGCGAGG